AGAATTCAACCGCTTGCTATGATGGGCGCTGGCCACCAGGGGGCAGCGTGGAATGAAGGGAGGCCCCAGCCAGCAGCCAGGGGAAGACCCCGGCTGGCAGCTGGAAGGCCTCGATTGGCCCTGATCGCTGGCCAGGCCTAGGGACCCTACCCGTGTGCACAAATTTCATGTACCGGTCCTCTAGTTATATTATAAGGATGCTTTTTGCTATTACACTAAAATATTCCATTCTGATGGCACTGCTCTCAAATCACCTCTACATTTAGAAAAAGTTCTTAAACACCAGAACCTGACCAACTATTAAATCACTCAGAGCAGAGACCTCATGCCATCTGGAATTCTGAAGGACATGTCAATATCCATGGAACTGACAGCTTGGGCTTGACGAAGAGTGTCAACGTCCTCAGAAACTTAGGAAATGTAGGAAGAGTCGCTAGATCCTTCAGCTGCCCCACCTACATGAAACTAAATGAGGTCGATGTGAAAGCATACAGTGCAGGCCTTAAAACTGGCTAAACTAATTTGCGATTCTTACAAAAGCTATGTCTCAAACACCAACAACCAAAAGGAAAAAAAGAGTAATATCAAACTGCTTGACAGAGAGATTAAGCCCCTAAAGGCGGAGACCACGATTCTTCTTCTTTTCTTTTTAAATATATTTTTATTGATTTCGGAGGAAGGGAGAAGGGGAAAGAGAGAGAAACATCAATGATGAGAGAGAATCATCGATCGGCTGCCTCTTGCATGCCCTCTACTGGGGATCAAGCCTGCAACCCAGGCACGTGCCCTGACAGGAATTGAACCCAGACCCTTCAGTCGCAGGAGGATGCTCTATCCACTGAGCTCAACCAGCCAGGGCAGATTCTTAATTTTTAGTTAATCTTTGTCTAAGTGTGATATTGCTCCTGACTCAATGAAATATACTCACTGAACTCCTTCAAATCTTTAAAGGCAACAATGCTGCACTGTGGCAGGTTGAAGGTTGAAGGGACAGACAAGTGTCACTATCACTGCAAAGCTAGATGGCTACAACTATGAAAGGCTTAGGGATTAAAGGTAATGTCTGCAGCTCCCCTTAAAATTCACCAAAAAGGCCAAGCCGGTTTGGCTCAGTGGATAGAGCGCTGGCCTGCGAACTCAAGGGTCCCAGGTTCGATTCAGGTCAAGGGCATGTACCTTGGTTGCGGGCACATCCCCACTGCGGGGCGTGCAGAAGGCAGCCGATCGATGTTTCTCTCTCATCGATGTTTCTGACTCTCTGTCCCTCTCCCTTCTTCTCTCTAAAAAATCAATAAAATATATTTAAAAAAAAAAAATTCACCGAAAAGATGGATAAAGACTTGAGCACATGGAAAATATATAACAAATACAGCAAAATGTCAACAACTTTAGAAAATAAGTGGTGATTATATAGGTATCAACTGTTCAACTCTTTCCACCTCTCCATGTTTTTATAAAACATTATGGGAAACTTGTCCAAATGCCCATCAATTGGTCAATAAGCAGAATGTGGTATTTCACGTGAAGAAGGGCTGCTACCTGCCGTGAACAGGTAAAGCTCCAGGGGGGCGTTCTCCTTGTGGGGAGATTCTATTTTCCTTTCGGGGATAATGAAAAGGCTTTGGAATAAATAGAGGTGATGGCTGCATAATATCGTGAATGTACTAAAGGCCATTAAATTAAAATGCATTTAAAAATGGTTACTCTTATTTCATGTGAATTTTACCTCAGATTTTTTTAAAAAAAAAAACACCATTTGGTATGTAATAACATTAAGTCACCTAAACAGGACTGCCTGCCATTCCTACAGTTTAAAACGAAAGGATTTTGACAGGAATTTGCTTGGGGCATTTTGGTGGAATCTATCATACTTGAACACTACCTAGCAGCTTAGCTCCAAATGCTTCCTCACCCTATACATATCTGACAATATGTCCTTATTCACTGGCAGAGTATTCCATTTAGCATCTAAATAGTTTAGAACTAAAGATATGAATCTGGTATTACCATCAGCATATAAAAATTATATGAATTAGGAAGGTGTGGGAAACATGGAAATATTAAATCCCAGTATATTTTACCAAAGCAGCGTTCTCTGTAAGTAGCTAAGGAAAGGTAAAGAGCTGCAGAAACTTTTAACCTGCTATGTGAACTAATAAAACATCCTCCTCCCCACCCCCCCAGCCCCTTCCCTAAAACACTAAGAGTCTATGTTGCATCTAGCAAGAATTTACATTAGGTTTGAAGCTGTGTGTATTAGTGAAACTCTAAGAGGCAGTGTTCAGACATATTACCCACTACTGTTCCTACAACAGAGGCTTAAGTCTAAACTGGAATTCCTTAAAAAAAAATTTTAAAAAAGACTCAAAGAGAACAGCCTGGCTGGCGTGGGTCCCTGAAAATCTGTATCCAGACCAGAGTTAGTTACTTTAGAAATGCGCTGGACTAAACTGGGAAGTTCTATGTCATTAACTATGTTCAGAGGAAGCTTGGCCTATTATTTGTCTAAAATATTATAAAGTATCCAACAAAGTCAATATAGAATACAACACGATGATTCTGTAGAGAAGGAAGTATATGAGGTTCTGACTATCCCCTCTTCATATAATGAAATGTGTGTGTTTTTTTTTCCTGGTTGGTTCCCAAAAGACCAGACTGACACAAACATCATTTCCTACTTTCACAAGAAAAACAGAATGATTTGGCTTTTAGAAGACAGATGAAATTTCTCAGGAAACGAAATTACCTGGTAGTAGTAGTCGTGGTGATGGTTAGGTTGTTACCTGTGGGGATTCCTGTGACTACACATAATGAACAGACTAAAAACCCTCGCCCCATTCCAATCCCATCTAAGGGTGGCCATGTGATTAGGATTCTGAAGGAATAGTTGTGCCTGAGTCCCTAGAATCCAGCAAATGTTTCTTCTACCTTTATTCCTTTTGTGTATTTAAATCATAAACAATATCCCCAGCTAGTGTTACTCAGTGGTTGAGCATCAACCTATGAACCAGGAGGTCATGGTTGGATTCCCGGTCAGGGCTGCAGGCTTCATCCCCAGTGTGGGGCATGTAGGAGGCAGCCAATCCATGATTCTCTCTCATCACTGATGTTTCTACCTCTCTCTCCCTCTCCCTTCCTCTCTGAAATCAATAAAAATATATTTTTAAAAACGAAATAAACACATTTAACCTGTATTACTTAACTTTAAAAGAAAAAGGCATAAGAATATTTTAATATGTGTTATGTGACAAAATTATGTTTAAAGGAAATATTGAATATGGTAGAAAAGAAAGTGAATCTTTTATTGCATTACATATAAAAAGTTTACATGCGTTAGGTGGACATATTGTCAGCAACATACAAATGTTTACTGAGTGTCAAGTATGCTTTAATTCTCTGCCTCAGTATCCGCAGATACTGTCTTCTACTCTGATCCAAAGTCAGTTTTATATAAACTAATATATTCTGTTCTTACTCCTTTTTACCTTTACAAAATTTCACAAGAATTTTGGGGATCTATAGCCAATACTTGAGCAATTGTTTGGAATTAAAAGAAACATAACTATTAGACAAAAAAGGACCTGCTTAGTCCAAATGTCAAAAATGTCCTTCCTTTATATCCATAGACAGAAGAGGTGGTTCCCCTACCCCACAAAAGTGGGTTTTTTTACATACTAGCTACTAAGTGGCCATTCTGCACAATAATCATTGTTAAACATCAGTGTAATAGACAAATTATTTTCCTACAAAGTATCTAATCAACTTCAACACAAAAATGAGGTGAAAGGTGATGCAAACACCACTTACGAAGGAAGGTCTTTGGCAGCTCTCAAGCCCCAGCCTTTCTTCTCTGTGAGTATGACTTCCACATCCGCATGCTGTTTCCTCTGGAATCGTCTATTGGAACAGTAATCCCCGTTTGGACACCGAGAAGAACTGTGAGAAATGGAGAACATCCATGTTGGCTCGCGTGCACGGCACAGCCCTCGCGTTAGGCGCCGTCAGCCTGTGTGTGGCAGACCCCAGTGAGCCATCCTCGGGAACCCTTTCCACCATGAAGGGGTCCTTGGAATGGAGGATGCCCGCCACGGTCCTGTCACCTCGCCATCACCCCCTCTGGGTGTCTAGGACACATGTCCCGGCGTCCTCCTGACAACTCTGCAGGGCTCATTTATTTTCTATCCGGCACCTTCTCTTATATTCCACTCCAGTCATCATTAATGCGATCTTCTGAATGTAGCTAACTGATCTGCATTTAAGAGACACTAAAGCCATTAAACACCCTTGTTCAGAGTAAACACAACATGAAGTGGCAAGCCCACTCCCATGTGTATTAGATGAAAATAATAAAATTAAACATTCACTAAATTCTCAGTAGTCCCAAACTGGCAGAAACAAAGGTTTAAATGCTGAGTACGGCTAAAATAGGAATTACCAATCACTTCCAATACATTAGATTTTGTCAAACTAATAGTAAATATGTTCATAGATGTTCAAAGGAGGAAGATTCACGTTCGAGTGAGGTGGGGAAGGAAAGCTTTCAGAGGGAGCAGGATCGAAGCAGAGCCTCTAACGACCCCACGACACGGACAGTAAGGAAAACGAGACGCAGCAGTGCTGTCTGTGTGCAGAAACAGGAAGCAGGCCCCGAGAGGAAGCGGAGCTAATGCTGCTACGGTGGCTGATCAGGCCGGCGGGCTGCTGGAAGATGGAGAGGAAGGTGCTGCTTTGCTATGAGGGGCTCTGGATGCCAGGCTCAATCTGAACACAGTCCCAAGGACTTCCGAAGGTTTGAGTATGGGAATAACACGAAGAAAGAAATTCTGCACTTCATTCCTATGGAGCAAGGCTGCAAGAAAAGCCAGAAACTGCGGAGACCAGGGCAACAGTGCCAAGTCAGGGGAACAGGGTTCATCCTACGTCTCTTCTTCGTACATGTATATGTCATCCTGCTTTTAGTTTAGGCCAAGGAATACTAAAAATGCTTTCTCTCCTTTTTGTTTACAGTATCTATGTTTTATTTTTATAACGTAACATGAGCAAAACCAAAAACTTAGCCTTGAAAAAAAAAACATTCATTAACACTAAAAATAAGGTAACCATACCATAAATCACCTTTAATAGTCTTTTCATGTTAAAAAAAATTTATCAGACATTTTTTAATGTATAGATATTCGCCATTTATAAAAAAAAAATATATAGCCGAAACCTGTTTGGCTCAGTGGATAGAGCATCGGCCTGCGGACTGAAAGGTCCCAGGTTCGATTCCGGTCAAGGGCATGTACCTGGGTTGTGGGCACATCCCCAGTAGGAGATGTGCAGGAGGCAGCTGATCGATGTTTCTCTCTCATCGATGTTTCTAACTCTCTATTTCTCTCCTTTCCTCTCTGTAAAAAAATCAATAAAATATATTTAAAAAAAATATATATAGAAGCAAATGCCTACCAATAGGGGATTAATACTTAGGGGTTAACTATGAATAGAATATGTAAGGCAGCTAAGGGAAAGACTGAGGTAGGTCCTTTATGCATGGCTCTGAATAGGTCTTCAAAGCATTTTTATTAAGTGTGTGTATGGCAGGTGCGAAGCGGAAGAGAAAAAAGATTTTAAAAGTAGATACAGTAAGATTTAATTTCCGTACATAAAGAGTAAACATTTACTTATGTTGACATAGACGTAAAACTTACCTGGAAAGACTACAAAGAGAGAGTGCGGTTTGGGAGAGAAATACATTTTATTGTATGAGTTTTTTTAAATAATAAGGTTTTATCTCATTTTACAGTAAAAGCTAATGAATAACAACACTTACCTCTCAAGACAAACATTGTAAGAAATAAAAGGAGACCGGATAAAAATTAATATTACATGATTAGCATTTTAGGGCTACTTTACAGAGCACTTACAATGTGTATTATAATAGAGTACAAAATATAAGGGAAACAGCTTTATAGCTTATCAACACTCAACAAAAGATAGAAGGAAAAGGTGAAATTTTGCTCTTTGCTAATAATTCTCCTCAGTATTTCGAGACACTTCATAGAGCTGAACAGAAGCAAAGCCTTCCCAGCCCCTTACCATTCGATCATGAGGAGGCGGTTGAGGCAGTCTTCCCCACAGGCTATTTCACCCTGAGCTCTCTCCTCTTTAGAAAGAGGCGCGCACTCGCACTGCATCCGCTTAATGTCCCGATGGGACTTATTCTTCTTTCTATTGGGTAAAATTTTATAAAAACCGGTTAAACAAACCTCCTGGCAATGACAGTGCACACACAATCAAACAATGTGCTAACTCTCATTAGCTTCACACTCAATGATTCCGGTTACCTCAAACATTCAAAAGGAAGAAGACATCCAATCACTAGGATTTGTGAGACTGGAACATGACTAATTATTTTTTTTTAATATATTTTATTGAGTTTTTACAGAGAGGAAAGGAGAGAGATAGAGAGCTAGAAACATCGATGAGAGAGAAACATCGACCAGCTGCCTCCTGCACACTCCCCACCGGGGATGTGCCCGCAACCAAGGTACATGCCCTTGACCGGAATCGAACCTGGGACCTCTCAGTCCGCAGGCCGACGCTCTATCCACTGAGCCAAACCGGTTTCGGCTGGAACATGACTAATTATTTTGCAAAAAAGATGAGAGGCAACATGAACCCTGGCAGATGGGACAAGGGGTAAGTTCAAGTCTGTCACTTTGTATTCAGCCCCTATTCCCTAGTCCAGGTCAGCTAAGCCTGGGATTTTGTGCAATTCCACGTGTTAATACTCAATGTTTGGCTCAGGAGAAAAACAGAAAAACCCATGAGTACCAAATAGTGATACTGCTAATTAAAGAGTTTAAAAATCAGTCCTCAAGGATGAACAAATAGCAGCTGAGACACAGGCTGAGGAAGAAAGGGCGTTGCTAGAAAAAGAAAAGTTTTAAATTAAGAGTTTAACGCAAATCTTTCAGAGAATCTCTCAGCAACATCACATTTGTACAAATCCTACTTAAAAGAAAAATGAACTATTTAAAAAAGAATTTAAACCTCATTTACAAATAAACGTAAATGAATATAACTGTAGGAAGTCTTTTACACCAAAGGGGGGGGGGGGGTTTAAATAGAAAAAAATTTCTGATGGGACCTAACTTTACAATGAGATCTTTTATCTCATCCACGATATAAAATAAAGCCCTGGCCAGTTTGGCTGTGGATAGAGTGTTATCCTGTGAACTGAAGGGTCCTGAGTTCAATTCTGGTCAGGGGCACATGCCTGGACTGCGGGCTCGATCCCCAGTAGGGGACATGCAGGAGGCAGCCGATCAATGATTCTCTCTCATCATTGATGTTTCTATCCCTCTCTCCCTCTCCCTTCCTCTCTGAAATCAATAAAAATATATTTAAAGAAATAAAAATTCCTCATCAAAAAAATTTTGAATACTTAATGGGATGGCAAGGTTAAACTAGAGGAGAAATTTCCATAAGGAGAAAGTGGTTAGTTAGAAGACTACAGATTTATTTTTATAAGGCAGATTCAGCATATATTTATATTGGGAAAATGAGATTAGTGCAAGGGGTGAAAGCAAGCATATGAGAAGTTCTGCAGTAAGTAGAGGAATATGTTTTCATTACTCCTATTCTCATTATACCTTGTTTCATGTTAGGGGTTTGTGACAAACCATTTTAACATCTATTTCTAAAACATCTGTTTTGCTATTGGCAAATTTAAGCTATTAACAATAGACTAAAAAGTCTGACAAACCCATATTCTACCCTAGTTCCAGCTGTACAAAGTAAAGATACTTCATTCTGAACTTTTTTGAAAAGTAGAGGGGAAAAAATCGAAACTAACTACTTTTTACTTCTCTAAGAGTAGACTATTTTAGTACAACTTGGTTTCATCTTCTGCCAGTTTCACATGTAAAAGGAATTATTTAAAAATTGGTTGGCTGCCCTAACTGGTTTGGCTCAGTGGATAGAGCGTTGGCCTGTGGACCAAAGGGTCCCGGATTCGATTCCGGTCAAGGGCATGTACCTTGGTTGCGGGCACATCCCCAGTAGGGGGTGTGCAGGAGGCAGCTCATCGATGTTTCTAACTCTCTATCCCTCTCCCTTCCTCTCTGTAAAAATCAATAAAATATATATATTTTTAAAAATTGGCTGGCCTAAATTATACTTCTAGAACTATAAGGTAATGAGACAAAAAAGAAAATGAGACACCCCTCTGGGGAGGGGGGATCTAAATAAGTAAATACACGTTAAAAATCTACGTTTTAGATTTTTCTATTTATATTTTATCATGCAATTACATTTCCTACAATGAAGGTGATATATTCTGAATTGTTGAAAACTAATGTTTTTTTTTGTTTTTTGTTTTTTTTTAAATATATTTTATTGATTTTCTACAGAGGAGGAACGGAGAGAGATAGATAGTTAGAAACATCAATGAGAGCGAAACATCGATCAGCTGCCTCCTGCACATCTCCCACTGGGGATGTGCCAGCAACCCAGGCACATGCCCTTGACCGGAACCGAACCTGGGACCCTTCAGTCCGCAGGCCGACGCTCCATCCACTGAGCCAAACCGCTTTTGGCGAAAACTAATGTTTTAAAAAGGTTAAAATTTGTCAGATTATTAATGATGTTACCTTTCTGTTAAATAAACATTTTCTTCAATCAGATCAAAGTAACAAGGCATCTTCCCCTGCTTGGCGCATTCCTTCCATCGCTGGGGGTCTCTGAAGTCCTCCATGACACAGGAAGGCCCGGCCAGCGCCGAGCCTGGGGGCGCTGCCATCTCGCACGGCTGTGCCTCCACTCGCACCTTCTTTCTGTCCTGAAGCTCACCCTCACTTTCAGAATCACTCTCCAATTCCTGCCTCCTTTTTTTAGGAGGCCCTCTATCTTTCATATCATTTTTTTCTAAGTTTTTTGAAAGAGCTTTCTTGTCATTTATGACTAATAAGTCCTTAATGGAATTGCTGCTTATTTCAGGTGCTTGCACTGACCCCTTGTCCTGCTG